CCAAAACAATATACAATTTTGAAAAATTTGATCAGGATGCACGTTTTAAAGATTGATAATTATACTCGGAACGGAAGTAAACACTCTAAATCGTACACAACACCATCTCGCGACATACTGCCAACGTATCTGTGAGATATTTGTGCAATAAAATTTATTTGAATTTGAATTTGACAGACAGTATTCACTTGCGTACGTGTGAACGCTCCGACTCAAACCGGCCCAAGCAAAATTAGGCCCGAGCCAAATTTTAGCACCAGCTTTCGGCGAGAGGTAGAGCGGTAGAATCGGTTGAGCGGTAGATGCCACGAGTGTCGAACGTGTACTTCGACGAAATAAAGTCCAAAACAGTATAAAAATTTGAGTTTTCAAGATTGATAATTATACTCGGAAAGGAAGTAGGCACCCTAAACACTCTAAATCGTACACAACACCATCTCGCGACATACTGCCAACGTATCTGTGAGATATTTGTGCAATAAAATTTATTTGAATTTGAATTTGACAGACAGTATTCACTTGCGTACGTGTGAACGCTCCGACTCAAACCGGCCCGAGCAAAATTTGGCCCGAGCAAAATTTAGCCCATTTGGCTCGAGCCAAACCATGACCGTGTGAACGCGGTAATTATGTAAACGCATTCGGTTTATTACAACATGGCGGGTAAACTCCCGCGCCGACTGTTTACACCCAGTACGCAGACGTGACCATACGCGTAAGAAAGTAGTGCAACATATGATATATGACATCCCCCTTCTTTGAGAGAAGATGTACACACTGAATAACTGTTTCAGTAAAATTGTAACACAACTAAATTGTACAGCCCAAGTGCCGCTTGCACCAGATGTCTGAAAGCAGACTATCCAAGATAATACATGGCCACTACTCTTAACCAACAAATACATGTATGAATTGTTTGTGTTTACAGTCCGTAGTGAACAAATGGAATGAGTATCAAAACAAAGTTACACAAAATTTTCTACATTACTTGCTTGAATAACATGAACACACACTTGCTTCAATGTTCACAAACTCAATTTCTGTGGTGGTTTTACAGTTTGACCTGATTTAGTTTTGTACGCATCGATTCCGCTTTCTTTCGACGAACTGCCGTATAACTTCATCGCAGGCTCTGGTTCCGGTCAGAAGCGAACATGTTTTTGTGGGGTGAGGTCAGCTGCGTGTTTGGTTGTTGATTGGACCTCAGTGTCCAATGGCTCAGGGTTAACACGAGATGTCAGATTGAAGTTCTCACCGGTTTCGCGAATAGAACGTCGGTTCCTCCTGAGTACAGTTCCAGAGTTCATCTGAACTTGGTATGAACGAGGTGCATCCTGCGTGGTGGAAGCAATTGCTGGTTGCCATTTGTTGGTTACTTCATCGCGCACCTTTACCGGCTGGCCAGGAACCCGGGGAGATAACTCTTTGCCTGAACTCTGGTCGTGGTACGCTTTCTGAGTAACCTGACGTAGGTACAGTCTATCTACTATGTCGTCTCGATCAGAGGCTGTGTTAGTGATCTTCATAAGTAGATTGCTCCTGAACTTGCGTGCGTTGAGCAGCTCAGCTGGAGATGAGAGTTGACAGTCGACAGGTGTAGATCTGAGAATCAGTAGCGCCATGTTTGGGACGGTGTGAGCAGACTTAGACTTGGCTAGCGTACGTTTCACTGTCTGTATCTGCCTCTCAATGAATCCGTTCAATTGAGGAAAATGGGGGCTTGACGTTCGGAAGTCCGCTCCTCTGTGAATCGCTTGAATGCATAACTCGCGTACTGGGGCCCGTTGTCGCTAATCATGGTCTCAGGAATGCCTTGTTCAGCAAACACTTGCTTAGTTATGCTGACAACACTTTCTCCGGTCGCTCTTCCGTGGATTTTCCTGATTATTGGGAATTTCGAGTAATAATCACAGTAAATGATGTACTCGCATCCATCGAGGTAGAAGAGGTCACTACCAATCATCTGCCACGAACGTGTAGGTAAAGTGTGCTGAAGAAGAGGCTCCGGACTCCGGACTCTGTTTCTTCTGTAACTGTTGGCAGATATGACATGATTTGATCATGTTCTCGATGTCCGGATTGCAGGTTTTCCAGAATACACAGGTACGAGCTCTCATCTTTGTTTTTTCGATGCCCTGGTGGGACTCGTGGAGTTTCTCCAGGATATAACACTGCATGCTGGCAGGGATGACAACACGCTCGCCTTTCACGATGATGCCATCTTGGATCGAGAGCTCGTCTCGATAAGACCAGTATCGCCTCAGCGTTGTAGGAAGCTCGTTTTGTCTCTCTGGCCAACCTGACAGAATCACGCTCTCGAGTGCCTGTAGCTCGCTGTCAGACTGTGTCGCCTTCCGCAGTTCATGTTGTCTCTGTTCACTGAACTGCACTAGATGGAACTTGACGTCAAGGTCTATAGTAGTACTATCTGACACTGGCGATCTAGACAGAGCATCGGCCACCGCTACTTTCTTTCCAGGTTTGTAGACTAACTGGAGGTCATACTGCTGTATTCGTAGCAGCATGCGTTGCAAACGTTGTGGAGCAGATGATATGTTTTTCAGATGTATCATCTCTAGGGGCTTGTGATCAGACTGGACGACAAACCGTTTTCCGTACAGGTAGTTGTGGAACTTTTCACACCTAAAGACTACTGCCAACAGCTCGCGCTCAATGTTGGCGTAGCGTTGCTTGCATTCGCTCAGAGACTTGGATGCAAAAGCAATTGGTTTGTTGCGTTGAATGAGAACAGCGCCCAATCCCTTGCTGGAAGCACCGACTTGAAAAACTGATGGCTCCCTGGGATCGAAGTAACTCAAAGAAACTTCTCTCGTAATGAGTGAGATTATTCTATCGTACGCCACCTGGTGAGAGGGCGTCCACTCAAACACTGCGTTCTTCTTGATGAGTTCCCGTAGGGGTGCAGTTAGCTGAGACATGGGGTAGAAATGGAGACAGGTAAGTAACCATACCCAGGAACTCCTGCAACTGCTTGGCTGACCTGGGAGTGTCCATTGCCTGAATGGCTTCGACTTTGTCGGGGTCAGGGTGGACTCCATCGTACAGCATCCCAAAGAATTTGATCGAGGGTCTGTTAATTTCACATTTTCCGTAATTGAAGATCAGGCCTTCTTCTTTGGCGACTGACATAACATGTATGAGGTTCTTATCGTGTTCAGCTTGGTCTCTACCGACTACTGCGACATCGTCGGCAATACCAACGACTCCAGTGCAGCGTTCAAGGATGTTGTCCATCCTCTCCTGGAAGACATCTTGACTCAAGTTGAGCCCAAATGGAAGTCGCCGAAAGCAATAGCATCCGAGGGGCTGTTGAAAGTGGTGAGACGGCTGGACTCCTCATCTAGCTGAACTGACCAATACCCATGACGCGCGTCAAGTTTGGAGAATACCGTAGCACCTGCAAATTTGTGGGTGATTTCTTCCAGCGTCAGAGTGCGATAGTGAGGTCTCTTTATGGCCTTGTTAAAGTGTCTACGTCACGAATTTCCTGAAATTTATAGTTGAAAACCTTATTTTTGTAATTTTTTTACATCAAA